TAAAAAGTAATCTTGACATAATAAGTAAACGTACACCATGTGGGTTGTGGACCATATATATATATATATATATATATATCACCATTTCTCATACTAAATTGATTCTAGCGACTACATACACATATATACACACGAAGAATTTTTGCTCTAGGCCCTTCCAGTGAATTGTCGAGAGTTGTTGAAGTTTAGGGGAAAACCTCAAACACCATTAACAGTTTGCTTCACCTTTAATAACATCAATTCAATTGGACTCACTCTTGCCTTCAGTTTACACACAAAGTTTGGGTTAATCCTGTACAACCTTCGATTTTGACCACCAATTCAGATAAACACATTATGTGTCATGATAGCTGTTCAAGCACGATTTCGAAAGCAGTTTGAGTTATCTCTGCCAGGGCATCATATCTCTCACTGTTGCACAAGACATACTGTTTATTAGTCTAGGACCAGTGCAGTTGAAGTAGAATTACAATTGTGTCTTTAAACTTACGTACAAGCGGTAAAATAATTCCTAATAACTACATCAAGGTTTAGAATGTTAATCTTTTTTAATTTACTTGGGCATACTTAAAAACTAATATTAATGTTTAGATTTTCAAGTCTTTTAACAAATAATTTTTATAATCTACAACAATTGTATTCGTTTTCAGATAATTTCCAACAACTAAAGGTAATATTTAGACTTTAACCATAAAGATTTTTTTAAAAAATAATTTTCAACAACTATTAGTAATTCTCAGTTAAGATTTAAATCTAATATGGTATTGAAGGTTTCACTTTGGAACTTCGGAAACTTAAAACCATCAATAAGTTCCAAAAGAAAAATGATTACTCAGCATAGAAGATTGACTCTTCATCTTCAACAATTAGCCCAACTCTTCATCTTTAACTCTTCCAAAATGCTTCCCTGAAAAGAGAGGGAAAAAAAAACAAAGAAGAAAAGAATCTCTTCCCAATGCAGTATGAGAAGGTAAGATACTAGGACCTACAAAAGTTCGGATTCCCATTTCCCCACCTCTCATCTCTCATCCATCTCCCCATATCCAGAGTAAACGAAAAACAAATTGCCCCTCTCCCCATCTCTCATCCACGTACTATGCCCGTCCTCTTTGCCAAAAACAGATGCAACATCTTGTTCTGTTTTCACAAACCCATGGGCAGCATTCGCTTTAAGCAATCCCCTTCCAGAAAATATAGTGATATTCAAGAATCATGAGTGACCATTAATTTTTAGATGTTACAGACATGCACTAGTCTATATTCAAATATTTGAATCCAAATAATACATGTAGAAAAGTGTAAGACACCTGTATTACGGTGTAGAATAACTAATTAAGGTATACTTTGCATGCGACTTACTGATATCTTTAACTAAGGTGCAAATATGTGATATTGACTAATTAGATTTTTTTGAAGGTCATTAATAATTAGACTTATTTGTTTACAAATTGAGTAGGTAAGGGTTAGGAGATTCAAAATACATATTAAAAAAAAAAATCTAAAGGTAAGGTGGGATAAAATGATTAAATTCCCTTTTTTTCCTACAAAAGTTTAATCACTCCAAGTAATTGCTCTTAGCATCTATGTCCATCACCGAGTCAAGCAACCAATCAAAATAATTAATCATGAAATCTCATCAAAATTTCAAAAGCATTGGAAAACGACAACTAAATGCAATGCTCTTACCAGAGCATTGGCTTATACTAGGATCTTTCTAAAAGCCAACACCCCAACCACGCAAACCAGTATTTCGCCATAAAGCTGAGCCAGAATAGCAGGAACAACAAAAGTCCGGAGAATTTATGATCTACAAGAATCAAGTGCACAACTTAGGAAATTTTAGTGGTCTTTCAAAAATCCATTGAACATGTATCATCATCTATCTCGAAATATATTTACTTCTTAAGGAGGAACCAAATAGGGGATTTCACCAAACAGGTGCATACCATCAAAACAGAAGGGAAAGAGAACGGAAACCAAGCATATGCACATGATTGATTAAAACATTTTCATCTGGATATTCCAACTTAAATACTATCAGACATTCTTTTCAGGCTTGTTTATAAACATTCAATAAGAAAGACAAAACATATCCCTCTTACAGTCTTGACTAACAGTTCGATAAGATCATTGCAAATCTCCCCTATATTATGGCAAAGTTTCAACTAAATCACTAAATAAACACCCTGGAGTCTTAATGATTCCCATTTAGGTCTTAATAAGCCAAAATGTAGACTTCTTAGCAAATCAAGCAAAAGGATCAATCATGTTCACCAAGAATCTCAGATATGCAAAAGCGAAATAAGCTAGAAAGCTAATTGATAGAAGATCAAATTAGAAACTGAAATCTTTATCAAGCCTTGGATCATCTACCATCCTTCTATTCAAGAGACAACTTTAGATATCAAAAGAATCATAAGACATTCACAATGAGCACTCATATTATCCTAATTACATAGAAACAAAGTTAGAAAAAGGATAGTAACAGAATTTTACCTGTTGGAGCCAAATCTGGCAGTAATATTCCCAACCATTAATATCTTCTGCTCCCTTTCGTAGTTCCTGCCCCAAAATTCCCAAGAACAAACCTCCTCCTTCCTCAAAGAAAAACCCCAGACGTCACTATTTTTTCCCCTCTTGCTTCTCTTCGTTCTCAGAACTTTAGAAATTCTCTATCTTCCCCTTTCTCATGCTCGACCTCAAGACTCGTAGTTTCTCCCTTTTTCACTACTCGATTTTTCTCCTCTTCCTTACCCGAGCCCTACTTTCTTCATCACCATTTTGCCTTAATCTCCTCCCTCTTTGCTTCTGCCTTTGATTTCTTCCCATCTCTCCCTCTCATTTCTCCGCTCTCAACCCCGCACTCTCTCTTTCTTCTCAACTCGGTTCTTCGTTCTCTTCTTCTCACCATCTCAGTATCTCAATTCGTACTCCATATTCTCTCTCTCTTCTTCTTTTTTTCCTTCCCTGACCGTCCCTTAACCTTTTTTGGCCCTTGCTTCCTTTCAACCCCTTTAATGGCGGCTGCTCTCTCTGCTTCCTCTTCAACTTCACTCTCATCGATATGGCCCTCACTACTCTAATATTTCCGTTTGCTCTTCCTTCTCCGTATAAGAAACACACACAGAGCCTCTTCTGTCGTCGTCTCTGCGCTGTTCTGTCACTTTCTTCAGTAACAACTGTCTTTATACACGAGACACCTTCTATAGTCGTCATCTGTACTCGATCATCATCGATCAACAGAGAATAGAACTCTCATAATACGATCCTGAAGCAGCCGAAATGCCTCCGGTCCACTATCTGTTTTTTGTTTAAAAGAAAATCCTACCATGTCCCTTGTCTCCGTCGGCCGTGGGAGCTGGAGGAGGAACAAAAAAGTGAATGCCAAGAGGGTGTAGATGTCACCGTCTTGAGAAGGAGAGAGGTGGAGTCAGCAAGCGTGCCCCCTAGCCCGAGGTTGGACGATTTTATGGCGGGCTGAGAGTGTGTTGGACAAATCTAGTGAAGGCTGGAATTGAATGGGTTTTATCTTTTGCTGGGGAAATCGGACTAATTAAAAATAATCTTGGATTAGGGGTAAAAATAAATACTATAATTATAAAATATATATATTACATTTTAATTGTCTGGAATTTTATTTAAAATAAAAGTAAACAAAATTAAAAATATTACGCTACTGATAGAACAAATGAAAGGAATTTGAGATTAGAACAAATGAAAGCAAATCTGTAGTATATTTTAAATCCAAAAATTTTTGAGCATATTAAACAATTATAGTTTACTATTAAGAATTTTAAATTGGATTGTATTGGTGTGCTTGATCTGGATCGGTCCATATATGGGGCAGTCCTCCATTATTGAGTTCAGGGATCAAGGAGTTCCAGACCGGTTAAAATGAATATATGTGAACAATAAATAACAAAATCTATTCTTGTCTGTAAAAAAGGAATGCGGTTCAATATTGCATCAGCCTCTATTTTTTGATTCAATCTAATCTAAACCACTTCTATTTAGTTCCAAACTGTGTAATATCCTAATTCCGTAATGGACGAGAGCTAATCCCCAAGAATGCTTATAAAATTCCATAGGAATTGGCAACACCTACAAAAAACCAAGTATCTGTCTGTCTGCGCGCACACTTTATAAAAGTAAGCTGCAAATAACTTTAAGCAAGCAAGGTTTAGAATCTAAACTCTGGGAGATCATGGATTTTCTCTTTAAAAAAACCACAATAATAGCTCATGTAGACACCAAATTTAGTAAGCAAGCAGCATAAATTTTCTATTAACCAGACCCATGACCCCAAGGCCATAACACTCGATCCCTAGTATAAGCAACCATATCTCTAAGAGAAACTAACATGCAAAGAACCATAAAAATATTCAGTTCAAGAATCAACATCATTCCATAGAGCAATATTCCAGCTTAACTAATAAATTATATACATACAATATCATGGTGAAAATTGCAATGTGTTTGTTCTTGGCCAAGAAACAAATACAAAGAACCAGTGAATATGAAGAACAACAATTCCCATTTATATACAAGACTAAGTGACAAAAGTAAGAAGATATTCTCAATTAAAAGATATATTGTCTGGTTAGGAGAAGTCTATGATCAATACAATTGAATAGCATCATATGTTATTTCGAAGAGATTACTTGGAGAATAAATATAAAAAGGTAGGATTTCACCTTGTTGCTGTAACAGAATAATTCTCAAATTTGTACATCTGGCATCAAATAATTCGGGGAGTTCCATCATTACGAACTCAACTCATTTGTAAACGTCCATGCAGTAGAATGGCGCATCAAGCAGCACCTTCATTAGCGAGTGAAACAAATGCCATATTTCTTTTCCCAATTATTTATGTTTATTTTATAGGTCAAGCATCACAAATTACTTTATTTCTGAAATATGTAAAGAAAAAAAATAATAGGACCTTGCAATAGGTTAGAGAGGGGATATATAATTTTGAAAGTCAAAGGACAAGAAGCTGCTTCACAAGGAAAATGACTTCTATTCAACTTTGCATACAAAGGATGTTGCTTCTTGAACAAAGTTCCTGGACATCTAATTTTTTAAGCTCTACTAAATTCAAGGTAAATCTTCTTCACCTGCTCTATTTCTCTCATGGCCACTAAACAGGCCAGCTCTACATCATAAATAACAATAAATGGTCCCTAGCTACAATTTTATGTAATGTTTTTGTTTCTGCAGCAATGACTATGCTATGGAAGAAAAAAAAAAAGAATAAAAAGGACCTATCTGGATACAAAATTGCATCCCAGTTCTGTAGGATTGTTAGAGATGATTTGTATGGTATCTCAAACAAAATGCTCAGTAGGGTATTCTTTCTCATATCCATTATAATCATAATATAGCCTCTCCCCTTTAGCGATTTCACGAGTAGCAACCAAAAGGACCCGGCATTCACCATCTACACTGTATCTCACACATTTACAATTCTGCTTCTTCTTGCCTTCCCTGCACAAGTTTTGTTAACCCCAAAGTTAAACAATTCCAATTAATAGCAAATTTTCATATAGCAGAATAATAATTGTTTTTCAACTTAACTTGAATACTAAAATGAAAAGGCTTGTCTGCCAGAGTAAACGGTGCACAGAAGAGTAGGTTACTCTTATTTATGTTCAAATGCACTAAACTATCTTCTATTTAGATTCAGAAGATGGAAATGAAATGCGATACAGGCCCTGAGCTCTTAGCTCGCTGCTCATGCTTACTCATCAAGTTTGATGTGCAAGATCGACAAGGTTCCAATACTTTCCACTAACAAACTCTAGGATTTTTTTAGGGTTACAATAGAAAAAAGATAGAAAGGATACACAGCCTTACGGAGTATGATTGTTGATGCCACTGATGAAGCGAGCAATATTTCCACATTTGTCGGGGCAGACAACAAGGCTTTTAGACGAGTCTTTTGCTAAAAGAAGGGTCATCATACTATCACAATCATCACGTTCTCGCCTTTTTAAGTAATCCACATCACCTATATATTCTGCAATAAATGTCATATCCTTAATTGGACCATCCGCTTCTACTGTATAACTGCATCAAGATATTAACAAACACCAACTCAATAAGCTGTTAGCAAATATATTTGTAACAGTAAAAAATTAATTTAGATAAATGTACCCTTCACATGAATCAAACACCACCATAAGGGGAGGACATTCGCCTCTTCTAGACATTGCTCTGCAGTATTCCAAGGTCTCTGCATCATCTTTGGAAAGAATCTGATAGAAAATAATTTAAAATAAATGAAAAACAGATACCATAACCAATGTGCATGAAAATAGAGCTGAAACGTCAAGAGACGTTCAGGCTTCAAACCTGCATCCCTCCACTTTCAAATATGGATCGATTGGCAGATCTAGGCGCCATGCCTGAGAAATAGGTCAGTTCATCACAAAATTCCATCTGCAATGCTGTTAAAGCAGAAGCAAGGCTGCGCATTTGTGCCAATCTCCGGTTAGGATCTTCTGATGGAACAAATGGCAGGAGTCTCCTCTTCTTCTTCTGCAAGACCAATGATCCAGTACGTCTCCGACGCCTTCTAGCATCTATTAATCAAAGTGGGAGAATGGACATTAAACAAAGCTCACTTACGTAATGATTTGCATAAAATGGTTTCTATCCAAGATTTTTGAAGACATAATGAAATAGACATAAATATGTGCAAGGTAATGAGAGGAAAGATGACCTTAGAACTAGTAATACAATCTACGCCCTGCTCGTTTCACCTTCACTAACACTTCTAGAGCCATGAGCTACAACAATTTACTTCATGTATAAAACTAAATCCACTCAACAAACTTTCTCATTTTGCAATTACTTAATCAACTATGCTATTCATTCAAAGTTTCTTTTCATTTTCCTTCTCAGTAGTGTACATCACTACCAAAAAAAAGAAGAGAAAAGTTTGTTCACATTGTTTTAAACAGCTATTATAAATGACTAACATTCTTGAAATTCATTTTCCTAACTCATTCCCATAAATCTTCCATGAGGATGATCGGTTATTAGCAGAAGGTGCAGTTTGAACCCAGTTAAGTAAACAAAAACAGACATGTTTATCATGAGGATCCTAAGTGATGTGTTTTTATTATATTGAGATTGCCATAATTGACCTCTATTTTCTAAGAAAGATGCAACAAAGAATACGTTAAGAAGATAGATTTGAGTCAGTGCGCACATATCCATGCATGTAGGTACAAATTTTTGACACTTTATCGACGTTTCAAATATCTGTTATTAGTAGAACGTGCAATTGGCCAAAGACCCAGTTAACAACAAAAAAGAAACCCATTTTCACTGGAAATCCAAATAATGAACTGCTGGGAGAAGCTTGTAGCAATAAAGAAACTTGTGGAACAAAACAGGCCATACTTGTAACATAAAGCTTGTAGGGTTGGTATAAAGGGCACAGTGAAATTCTGTTATAAAGAGAGCTGTATCATTGTAACGAAAGCAATATAATAATTGGTGGAAATGGAGTTCATAAAAGCTATCAAATACAACTCATTTACTGAAACTATCAAAAAAGATCTTCCTAAAAACTGCAGAAAGGAATAACTCAGGTTTGGAGGCCTTATACCCTAATAGGCATTTAAACACATTTGACATGTATATGCATGTGTATGCATGCAAATAGTCACGCGTGAAAAATATTCAGCCTGTGATATTTGAATGAAAAAATGCTAAAATGATGTGAAACTCCAGTATATGCAACTCATGCACCAAAGCTTAAAAAATCAAGGTATGCGTTCAATCACATGGAGATATATTCAACTCATGCACCAACTAAAAGATCAAGGTGTTATCATATTCTTGCTGTAGGTAAAGGTTCATCTGATTTGAGAAATACGAATACATACTATTTTGATTTTCAACAAATAGGAATCTATATAAATAGCTAGTTTATTAATTATAATATCCAATTTGTATAATTGGTCAAGCTTTTTACTATTTTCAGAAGCAGTAATAAACATAAGCAAATATCACCAAGGAAATGAATTTCCCGCGTGTTCTTTTCCAAATAAAACACAGGTTCAACAATTAAATACAGTAAAGGCATCTTGAGCTGCTCCTAACCAAAACCAATTATACAATGAGATATGTAAGGCAACCAAGATTACCTCTGTAGTATGTGAATTTTGTAAACATGTACACCTTTAATGCTTAAATGATGTATTGGTTTTCATCTATTAGATCTTAATTGTTAGGTAATAAATACTTGCACAACCCCCGCTCCCAGCCTGCAACCACTCACTCAAAGAACAAAAGAAAAAGCGAAAAGACAAATATTTTAAAAAAGCCCTGAGAATTGATAGTTCTTCTCCGTTTTAAGACCTTCAAAGACTTCTATAAATTCAATTTCGGAGTTCTTTTTTTCTTCCTTAAGATTGTGACAAACAAATGAAAAAGAAACTAAATTTCTAGATTGCATGTCTCCTGAAAACAAGTTAATGCAGACTATCAATATAGAAGCATAGATAATCACAAAAATAGACAACAAAACAAGCGCTGATCACAAACAGAAAATGCCAATGATCAAACAGAAACAACACATTTTCTAAAAAACTTTTACCTTGAACTGGTTCCCATTTATCATTCTTGTCAGTGCACTTCTCAATCCCAAAGAAACTGATAATCTTCTTCTGCGAGAAACCTGAAAATATAAAGGCAGATAAATCACGTAATCACATTTATCGCCATACACATGAAACAACAAAAACGAAGGAAGCAGACCTGAAAAAATAAAATTAAATAACAAACAGAAAACGAAATCCTCACTTCCTACTCGACGGCGACCCACACACTTAGGGCAAAGCCAGGACCCATTGGGAACGCGAGCAACGATCGGCCTCACGCATTTCATGTGGAAGCCTTTGTCACATTTATCGCAGAGAAGCAGCTCGTCATCTTTGTCCCCCAAGGCGCATTGCTCGCAGTACACGTCTCCATAGTCTTCCCGCTCTATCACAGCGTAAGGCGCCTTGGCCATGATCTCCACCATCGACTTCATCTTCTTCCTCGGAGGAAACGGCGATGGATGAAATGGAAGTGCCTCCGTCCGCTTCCGCGACCCGACTAGCATCCTAGCGGCCGCCGGAGGCGAGGAGATGGTGGCTGGAGCCATGAAACAAGTAGTAAATCCTGCTCTATAGAATTATCGAGGATGATATGGAGGGAATTGGAAATCCAAGATACAATGTCGGGGAGAGAGAGAGAGCTGAAAACAGAGTAGAAAATATTTTTGGTGTCTCTGGTCTCTTTCTCCCTCGCGGGGAATAAGGAGAGAGAAAGTGCGTGAGTTGGGTGTGAGGTGATTGGGTGCTAAAATGCGCCGCGTGCGCGCACGGAATTTGATGCGCCCTACACCTGAATTTGTCCACTGCGACTAATACCACATAACAACATTTGCTCCTTTAAATAGCCGTTCAGCCTCATTGTTAAAAGACTAAAATGCCCTCATCATTTTTGTTTTGCGCGCGCGACCTCATTGGGTATTTCAGTATTTTTAGAAGAAAAAATTGACAAATTTAGGACAAAATCCAGACGAATTAATTACCTTAATCCAAATCCAATACAAGGGAAAGTTTGTAATGTGAACAGGATCCGTAAATATTAATTATTTTTTTTTAACCTTATATAACAAAAATTCAATTAATCTTTTGATAAATTAGTTATAACATTAATTCCAATATGTAAAAAAAAAATGATATATTTGTAATAATTCATTTTTGTTAATGAAAAGTGGGACAAAATCTACTAAAATTAAAAGTCAACTACTCAAAAATCTTGAACTCTTCATAAAAAAAAAAGAAAAAAAATTAAAGCTATCTTATTAGGTTTAATTACCATAAGATTATTAACTAAATTAATATTATATATATTATAGAGATATGGTTGAATCTGATGTCATTATTTCAGTCAACGACAATTAACAATTTTTATTAATCAGTGTTTATAGTAATCTCTGTCCACTCATAATCTTAAATGGATAATAATATACTTAGATTAAGTCTTATTACATTCTAAAAATTTTGTAAAACGTATTTTTAATCTATATTTAATTTTAAATAAAAATTAATAAAATTAATTTCAAATATAAATTTTTTATGAAATTAAAATAATAAATTGTAAGTTCTATTATAGAATTTATTAGTACGACGCATTTGTATATATTCCTTATTTGCATCTCATGGTTTATGTTCTATAATTGTATCCTTCTTATTTTTGCATCTTCAATCAAAATCTCTTATTAAGAATATATATTTGAATTTGATTGGCTAGGTGGAATTATATGAGGATATTTTCATTCAGGGATGTGTTTGTGTTTGGTTAGTTTAGGACGAGTTTGAGCTCGAACTTAAACAAATTAACTCTCGTGTTCTATGTAAATTATTTGATTTTTAGTGATTGTATGAGTTCTATCAAACTACAGTGTTGATTATATTTCAAGTTAATTGTTAAAACATAACCTTATATTTAGTGTTAGTAAATCATCTTTTTTTGTGTCTCTTGTTTTATTTTATTGTTATATTTAGACTCAATTTTTTTTTATATTACTATTAGTAATATTTAGTTTTTTTTTTTGATAATTTTTATTTATAATTTTTGTCACTATATACAATTTTACTTTATAAGAAAAATATCTGAGTTAGGAAAATTTTTCTTTTCATTTTGCTATATAATAAAATTCTCTTATTAATATTTAAAGCATTTTTAAAATTATATTGATACGAAAATAGCAAACTATATTTCAATTATCTTGTAAAGATAATTCTCAACAAACATTTTATAGTATATATTCTATATTCTCAATGTCCCCATCTTGCCTTAACAATTTTTAGGAAAAGCTACAATTTATGCATGTGTATGTCATAAATAATCTTTTTTCTTACATTAATAATATCTCTTGTTTAAGATCCGTACATAGTCATATTCCTAATCGAGTGTTTGCTTATTCTTATTTTATCTTTTTCGGCCTCATTAATATGGAAAGTTAAATCTAAAGCTCCATTTTGTTGCTTCTTGGATATGAGATTAGGAACAAAGATTATTTGTATTGGGATCTTCTTTTCACAATATCTTAAACTCTCATCTTATGCTCATGGAACATAAACTATTCTCCAATGTCTCCTAGTTTCGAGTCACCATGACTCTCTATTTTTTTGTTTAATCCAATTATCTTTTTATTTATTAAGAATTCTCTTATAGGTTTAGATTCTAAAAATTCTAAAAGTTCTTATATCACCAATTAACATCTACTCTCTCATGGTTTACCTAACCCAACTATGGGTTCTATAAGGAAGTATTGAGTTTCTTCTAATCATTCGATCTCTACTCATCCATTATGTAAATTTTTCTGTGTAAGTCAACAATTTGTTCTTCTTCATAACTTTCAATTTCACTGTACCAT